GGTCGCCTGACACATTAAACGTATATACTAATAGAGTTCAGTTCCATGAAGGTTTTACTGTCGATAAACAAGGAATGTGAAGTTGCTATTCTGCTAAATGTGAAGGAAATAATTTCCTTTGTAGGAAGAAGCCTTCTAGTCAGAAGGCAGCACAGAAAACAATCCTTTAGGCTCAGCTGCTTCGTCTCCCAGACTCATTTTCACGTCTGTTCTGATCGCAACATAATGCAACTTTGTCTGATGTCATAGGTGAGGTATTTTGCTCTTTACGGTAAACAGATGATGTCACAGGACTATGATTTCACTGCAGGACTGAGCAAGCAGGTATCCGATGCACAGAATGAAAGTTATTGTTCAAACATAAAAAGAAATAATTGCAAAAGTGAAGCAAATGAACAGCCAAGTAAATTAATTCCTTTTTTAATCACTGTTCCTGTTTTCCAAGTGCAAATAATTCTCCTTTCCTATTTAGGAAGCCTGAGGGGATGAAAAAGTGTCCAAGACGGTGAAATTAAAAATTAGCTACCGAGCATGAAACATGCAATGATTGCACTTCATAACACTTTTATTGCCTCAGTGTTGTATGAATCACTTCACAGTTCCACACTGTTATGACAAAAAAAATGACACCAATAAAGTCTAAGCAATCGATGTTATGACTTCATCAATCTGAGACTAAAGGCATGCACAGAACGACAAATATTTTCAAGAATACTGAGAAAACTACCACCTCATTCTGAAGAAGCACAAGTTTCATTTTTGTATCTTCCTGAAGAGTGGTCATTCTCACACCAAAAGGTGGCATATTGAAATAATCCTCAGTACGGCTCCACGCGACACAACCTTGCTTTCCCTTTCAGAAACCGGCCAAATTTGGGCTTCTCAAGAGTTACAAATGCAGCTAACGCACAGCGAGGCTACAGCTAATACAGGATGTTCCCAGTTCAGAACATTCTCATTCCTTTGAGGTTTTGCATCGAGATAGTATTATTTTAACAATGACCTCCACTTAGCTTTATTTTTTTAAAGTGTAGCGATTCTGGAAGTATGAAGTTGAATTATCTTGACAATGTCACTAAATCCAAACAAGTTCAAGTTGTTGCTACTTAAAACTTCCAAGAGGACAATAGTCTATGCTTAAGACAACAAAGCAGCATCGTAGTAATCTACCGGATACACCATCAAAGGTACGGTGCAAAAAGTGACCTCCCGCAGGGAGACTGTACCTTCTTTTGACAGTCACGCTCAACAGCTAACCAAATGCAACCTGCAATTCCTTCTAGCTGTAGTTCAGCTTTGACATGACTAAGTATTTTAGTCTGTCTGTATTAAAAAAAAAAAAAAAAGTCCCATCTCTATGAAGCATCACTAAATCCAAACCAGTTCTGTAACAGCAGAACCTAACAATTTTTTTTCTAACAAATACTGGCTTTCTTTTTGTAATTGAGTGGCTAGACATCTTGACTGAGGTATTAAAATCCCTGGTAGGATTCTTTCCTTTAATATAATAGCTGATTTCCCTCACAAAATCATTAATAGAAAATAAAGCCCTTTTTGTTAACTCTGATCTTGCTTCCTTGCAAGTGTGCTAGAAGCACTTTAATATGGATCAGGTCATAAATATCACAAATGACAGCAGCAATGTGTGGCAACAAAGGATCAGATTATTCATGTAACATGAATACCTTCTTCCTTCTTTGATAAAAACAGAAGTAAACAGTATGCATTGATCTCAGGACAAAAAGTCAGTTCACCTTAGATCTGTGTTTTGCTGATACTTACAAATCCGGGTTTACAGTATGAATTAACGGCACAGCATAAACCTTAGAACGATGAACGAGGGGTATTACAGGGTAAAATAAAACCTACATCATTTTATGTCAAAATTCTCTCCCGTTTCACATGACGTACAGGTATGAAGTTAAGCTAGAGTAGGAAAAAGTTAGTAGGTGCTATTTTCACATAAAGTTTCCTACGGTAGATTCATGGCAGATGCATTATGAACAAAGCAAAACTATATACAGGCAGGCACAATTATGGAAGAATTAATGTACCAACAAGAAAGCACTGGGCATAAATGCAGTATAACACAGCAAAATGAAATTCACAGTTAATTTATATATCAGTGTTTCAATGCAGAAAAGCACGTCCCATTAAAGTATTTTTCTTGGGTAATGGCGGAACACACGACAACTGTAGCCTATTTGCCACCTTGAAACACGCACTGGGTTCATGGGGAGGGAAAAGACAAGAGTAATGACCAAATATAAGTGTAAAAATGTTATTCATACACACCTGTTATCCATTGCAGAGCCCTCCGGACATTGCCTTACAACTACAATATGCAGAACTGGCTTCTTACAGCAAAAACTTATTTCCAGAAATCCAAAGATTTAGTTCAAGTTGTAATACAATAAAGAGATATATTACCTTTAATACAACCTAGTCCTTTACCAGAAGCTCAACAAAGCTTCAAAGGTGATGCTCACATTAAATTCCAGTTGCCCAGTCCAAAGGACAGAGTATTAGCCCCCCACAATGCTGTACTTCAAAGGGACGTGAACCTTTTTTTGCCACCCAAATACTCCTGTTGAACTCGACTAAAAACTGTCTGCTGGACCTGGGCTGACAGAAACTCCAGGAAGAAATCAATGAAGAATTCCAAGATACCTTCCCCAAAGAGAATATTTAAATTCTTCAGCGATATGCAGCCTTAACATCTGATGGGACGAGTCTGTCAAGGAAAGCCTTAGAAAGATGATGCTGGTTTTGTGGAAAGACTTAGAATCTCTGATTTCTGGGGCCACGCTAGAGTCCTAAACTCTAATTAAATTCTAATCTGCTTTTCCCAGGTTTCATAAAATGCTGTCTCAAATAGGCTTATCTTCTAAGAAGTGCAGCATGATCTTCTCATTAAAGAATCCGTTACAATGAAAACACGTTAGTACTAAAGCCATAAAAGACTATGGAAATTATGGACGTTTTCCCCCAAACTAGTGGATTGCCCTAGTATCACTGTAAAAAAAATTGTACAGCCACAAGTCTACCTGAAACATGGGAACTTGCTGTTTAAGTGTTTCTTCAATGTTATCTCTATTTTGTTCTTTAATTAATAAAAGGATACATGCACTGACATTATAAACACTAATTTGCTATTTAGCATCCCAAATTAGGAAGCATAAACATTTATGCACTTCATTAAACATTACCTAAGAACACTTTGAGATTAACAGGAGACAAGCCAGGCTGTTAAATGCAATTTCAGGGCACGCATAAGCCACTGTAAAAAGACACTCCTCCTCTTCCCGTCCCTCGCTACGAATGCTCCCGGGCTCCATCCCATCGGTACCAGCCCTTCTGAAATGAACCTTGGAAACCGGCGATACCCAACACATCCGCACAACCACAAGTGCCAGCTTAAGGGGAGGGACGGGAGTGCGGGGACACGGGCAGAGCAAGCGGGGCATACCCGGTTATAGCAGCAAGGCGTGCTTAGATTGACACAAGCCAATCATGAAATTGCACTTTAGAAAGCGTAAAACAAATACTTATGCCCTGAATTAAGACGTTGCAGGAAGAGAGAACGTGGCGTTCTTCTCCACCTCTTCCAAAACAGGCACTGCAGTTCTAGCAGACGCCCTCCTCTCCCTTCCCTCTCCCTTCCTCCCCAGCCCCTTCAAGAATCCTTGCATTGCTCCTTTCCAAATTACCTGTGCATACGGGACATGGAAACAGGCTTAGGGTACACCAGTGCTACTGGAAGCTGGTAAGAAACGGTTAGGTCCTTCAAAACTACAGGAAGCAGAATTACAGTTGAAGACACAAATGCTGACACGCAGGAACAGACAGCCTGGAAGGTAGATAATCACATCTGCGTGTGCAAAATAAACGGGAGGTTAACTAAGATCACTAATATAAAAAATCCTCAAAATTGATCAGTCCAGATGCTATTACCTCTACACACCTTATTCTCAAAATCCTTCATGAAACACGACTTAACGCTATTTTCTTTCACTTGCAGGCATTGCAGGCAATCAGATATAAATCAGACCCACAACAAATTATTCCTTCTACCTTTGCATCGCAAATCTAAGTTCAATGTATAAAATGATTTTTATTTTTGATTTAAATGTGTGTTAAAAAGTGTCCATTGTTAAATAATGGACTCAGGGGAAACGGTACTAAATTTTCTATTATACATAATCTTGCCATAGTGTGGCAATCTTTAAATCGATTGAAAATACAAATACTCTAAAAATATAGTGTTTCAAGAACAGTAATATGGACATACTGAAGAGCTTTGTACCACAACCAGAAACCTGAAAAGTGCCTTGGTGCCTGAAAAAGAACTGCTTTTAGATTGTTATTTTCAAAAAAATAAATCATCATGATTATACAACTTACAGCTTTGGGTTCTTTGTTGTTTCTTTTTTTAAAACTATGACGGCAATGGTGATCTAATTAGAAGATAATAAGTGAAAATGCAACGTTCTTTATGTGTTTTTGACCAAATATATTGTTAAGATCAAAACAAAGATTTATAAAAACAAACGATTAAAATTTCAGTTCAGAAAAACACTTGGTAAAATACAATTAAACCCTTTTCAATAGCACAGTGGATTTCATACATTTCTTCCTTCTAAGCAGATGTTTACTGCAGCCTAGATCCACTAACTCCAGTAAAACAAAATGTAGGTAAAATGGGTCGGTGTTTGCAGAATTACAATCTCTATTATAGAGAACTGCAGGTAATGCACTGCAACTCATTAGAAAAAACTTTGAAAATTCACTGTTTCATTGTGAGTGGACTTACAATATATCTTACATTATTTAAAAGCAGGTTAAACCATAGAAAGGCTTTTGACAGAACTGCTGAAAAAATGATCAGTTATAGAAGGAGAATAATGCCTCAAGTCAGCTTCTCCCACCAGCAAAAATGCCACACAAATCAGAAAAAAACACCTCAGTAAAACACTAAGACTTTATTAAAAATCCAAAATTTATTGCAAATTGTACTTTGCACTTTCCCTCCTTTCTTCATTTTTACAAGATTTATTGATATCCATGATTTTTTCACAGATGTACTTGTTGACTTTGGAGAGTCTCTGTGCAATTTCAGTTTCATCCACAGTTTCTTGTGCTATTCTATCATACAAACATTCTGGAGAGAGAAAAAAAAAGGAAAGAGACATTAGGATATTTTTAGGACAGAATATAGCCCTGTGATGGGCTAACTACTCAAGAGACTGCACTGAGTAAGCACTGTGTATATTTGCTGCAAGACAACAGAAGTTTTTATTGATTGACTGGCTATCTTTTTAAAGACAAGATTTTTCACTAGGCTTGAATCTTTGGAATGACCAACTTCCAGTTGTGCTGTGACTACATTAACAGGTTTTCTATACAGAAATAAGGCTAAGTCCAACCTTCTACAGTGTCAGTCTTGCCTAACTCTTGTATTTGTCCGTATCTCCACAGCAGGTTTAGAATCTTCTCCCAGGTGAACAGTCTCACTAGAACTGTCATCTACAGTTCCCTGTGAGTCATTCCTACCTTCACACCTTCAAGATAGTAAGTAAATTATAATGGTTAGGAAGAGAAGCAGTAACCAGTAGGAGAAGACATTAACTGATTTATTTTTAAAATCTGTACAACATACGTTAATGTCTGCCTCTTTATCAGACACCCTGTCCCAGGGCATTTGTTGCTTTTATTAGTAGATTATTCAGGGTGAGAGCCATCTTCTTGCATGTTTGCACAATGCACTTTGTGAACTTAACTGGAATACAAAAAGCAAGCAATAGTTATAACTCCAAAAGCAATGAGGGTAACAGAAGTCAAGACAATTCTGCTCCACAGTCAGAAGTTCAGTGCCAGAATCCTGCAGAGGTTACTAAAATCAGGGGTGGTGCAACACACTCAAGTCCTTCGAGACAGGCAGGTTGTCTTTTTTTGTTTTCATAACCAGAACAGCGTATTTTGTTGTGTACGCTTCCCAGATTGATTAAACAAACCCTGTTCTGCTTTGCCTAGTAATCTACTCTGGTAGCTGTTTATTGCTTCATATACAGAAAGCCATAGAGATTATCACTTAATTAACATGGTTTATAACATTTCTAATGCACCATATTAAAAAGTTATGAAAATTAAGTACTATGCATGCTTTGTAGTTCATTTTGAAACCTCTCAGAAGTTTTATAAAAGGTTATTTTGCATTAACAAGGTTTATAACAGTGCTCATGCATCATACTTTTTATAATTTCTTTATTACATACTACACAGTAGGGATTTTTATGAATCTAGAGATATCAGACACATTAAGAGCTAATGCTGTAGTTCAAAAATCTATTTTAAATAAGTTAGTCTGTGTCCAGAGAATGATCAGAACATACAAAACAATATGAATTTTATGTTGTGAGATGTACTGAATATAAAATGACTAAAATTAATCAGCACGCAGCCTGATAGCTGAAACGCTGATCATCAGTAAACTATGATTTGAAATATGACAGCTAAGGAGAGGCATGTCACTGAGGACCTGAAGAAACCCAGTGTGTTCACAGGACATAAGCTTGTACTACAACAATCTCAGGAACGCTCCCAGGTTGTGGCAGATACACCTAGTAAAGAGAACTTCCAGTAAAAGACAGGCTATGTTATTAGTTTAGCCACAATGTCAAGCAAAGAATCACTTGACAGAACTCATTCATCAGCTGTGATTCTTAAAGTCAGTGTGACCCAGACAGGTCCATGATCATCACAGTTTTTCCTCTTCCATCTCTTCCATTTCTATGAGGGGCTGCAGAAATAGTACTTCAGTAGACACAAGGTTGCTGGCTTAGGGGCTCCAAAGAGCGATCTGGGGGTTATGCTGCTTCTTTGTCTTTTGGCTTTAGAGGAGCATACAGATACCCTTTCGTACATCTGACGGGACCAAAGATTCAAGCAGACCTCAAAGACTAACATGGAGCTTTACTTCTTTCTGTGATGCCTGATCCAAATCATTGGCTACATAAGCTTGGTAACTTCCTCGCATTTCACCATTTATCTACTTGCTACTTGTTTTTTTTTTTGTTGTTTTCTTCTCCATAATGTAATAATAGTTTCTTATTTGATCACTTCCAGCTCTCCAGGAAATACTACTGGCATGATGGGGCAAGACCTGCTAATACTGACACAAATACAAAGGACACAACAACGTGGAAAATTAAGGTTATGTGCTACCCAGTACTGCTGATACACAAAGTCTGTCTGATGCCACCTAATACACTGGCCATGCAGTTTAACTGGTTCAAGAGGAAATTGTACAGTCTTGAGCCTAACAAAAAGGGAGTCAAAGACGAGGTGAAAGACACACTGGGAAGAGGAACATGTAAAACCAGGGTGTGGAACAGTAGAATTCAAGTGACGGTTGAGGCTGGAAGCACAAGTATGACAGAAAACACAGAAAAACGAGGAAATAGGGAAGAGCTGAATTGCTGGAGAGCATAAAGGTATGGTAGATAAGAAAGGGAAGGGCCCCATCTGCCTCTCACCATGTACCTGTTGGAGTGTACTCCCAAACTCACTGTAGTCAAAACAAAGGGAGTTAGAAGAAAGCTATCATTTAAATGGCTCAAGCAACAGACTGTCCCTGACAGAAGTAGAAGATGAAATTCTTGCATAAGCAACCTCGCCAGCAGTGCTGAGGAGCAACAGCATCCAGCAGGGAAACTAGAAAGCTCTTTGCAATGAGCCAGTGAAGAGTAACCCCTTTTTACTGCATGCTTCTAAGTGTGCATTTGGGTAATCAATTCTGTTTCCCATTAGGAGCTGACAGGGGTAGCCACAGCCACAGAGCGGCTTCCTTTCACGGCCAGTACATCGTTACTTTGCTACGTGTGTTAAGATTGTACCAAAAGGTCCCAGCCAGAACTAGAAAATCAGTATGGAACAGCTTGCACTTCCACCTATATTCTTAAAGCAGATTAGGAAAAAAAAAAAACAAAACCCATGTCTTTTACTCATTTCTGACAAATTAAGAAAGATGACAGTACGAAGATCAGTTTCCAACTTTTCCCGACACAACACAGACACACACACACACATTCAAAGAGGAATTGTATTTCTTACTTCCCAAACATGGTAATTGCAAGGCAGATTACAACAGCTCTTAAGGAGTTCATAGTTAAGAGCACATAGCAACTAAGAACAGGAAATTCAGAATAATGAAGCTTAATCAAATAGGGTCATTTCTTTCAGCCCTACTGCAATTTAGTATGGACACAAAACCTAAAAATCCAATTTCTGTGTGTATTCCATGAGGAACCAACTCAGCTCTGACTTAAAAAGAAGCCTGAAATACCAAGAGAGACAGAAATGAATGCAAAACACAAGCATGATGATACAAAGGGACTGAAATTCACTATTCATTTTAAATAAAGGAGAAGGCCTTTTCTCTCTCTCAGTACTACATACATGGACTCAGGCTTGCAGTTACTGAAAGTGTCATTGCAATTTCTCCTGCCAGATAGGTCAGCAATTTACTCTTCTTCTTCAAATTCCAGTTCAAGTGCAACAATTAATTTTAACTACTTCCATTTTCTCCACTTAAAAGGGTAAAACTATTCTTTCTCACCTTTGAAGGTACGCGTATTTTTATAGTCACAGCTACAATGGTTTCTGTGCCTCATGCCAGACTTGGTTACATTCTGGATGAAAGAATGCGGTAAAGCTACTCTCAGGCTTGTTAAAAAGAATAGATGCATTTTAAAAAATCACTATGTTATAAATGAATTCCAGAACAACGTGTTGTTCTTCAGGCTCAGAGTCCTGTCCTACAAATGGTTCAAAGTGATGATCTTCTTGAACTTTTCTAAAGTACAATTCTTCAGCTGTGAAGGTCTGCACTGTGCACAGCTATTGCAATGTGTTTTACTTTTCCTGAATACATATGTGCTTCACAATGCAATAGCAATTTGAATTACAGTTTTTAATCAGTTAATTTTATGAGCTGAAAAGAAGCATCTTTCAACTCAATGATTAATAGTTAAACTCCAAAGCAGGAAGCAAAAGTTTTCAAATAACCTACCTCTGACAATGCTTAATTTGTGAGGTGAGAGAGGTGGCTTGGGAACGGCATCTTTCTTTTTTTTGGTTGCAACTCCTGTGACACTTCTGTTCTTGAGAACATCTGTTCCCCAAATCATAACCGCTAGATTTTTTGTATACTTTGAATCTCCTTGTGTTACTTGCAGCTGGTGCCATTTCTCCTCATCTACCCAAATTCCACTGCCAAGATGGACCTAGAAGGTAGTAATAATAACAACTTATCTATGGTATGTAGCACACAACAGTATCCAAGTGCTGTAGGAACATTAATATTAGGTACTATAATAACAGTAATTAGGGCTGAACAAATCCATTTTGCCTAATTCTGAAAATTCTCCACTTTGTGGGTCAGGGAGTTCAAGTCAACCTCTTACATAATATAGCTCCTCTTCCTTTTTGTCTCAATTCTTCTTACTCTCTACTTTTTCGCCCCCACATAGCCTATCACCTGAAAGACTATATTCAGGAACAGAGATAGAAGAAGGAAACAGTAAACACATCCAGCATTATAAAGGTATGCACAGCATATAAACCAAGCAGTTGCACCAGCCTAATTCAGGAGTAAGATGAAACATTGTCTTCAGTGTGAAAGCTCACTTTCGCTGAAACAGACTTTACTGAAAGCATGTTTCAGAGACAGTAAAGAGGGGAATACTTCCTAAGTCATATCTTGTACCTGTTGCCAAAATTCAGCCTGGTTGTTTAAAGTAACTAGAAGGGGAGAAGGATTTTGAGAGCTACAATGGACGCCAAGAGAGTTTGGAAGTTTCATAAGCTTCCAATTCTATCATGAAGTTTGCCTGTCATGTACAATCCATCTATCCAGGGGAATACTGTTTTGTGGTAAGGCAATGACCCATTGCTGCAACATCATAGACTTTCCCTTATCCACACAATGGGGAGCAGAAATACTTCATTGAAGTAGTAAAGCAGGATAACATGGGTCCTGGGAAATGTAGTGTGAAGCCACTGTAGAGTCTCCAAAAGGAAGCTGCTCAAGTCTAGTTGTGCTTATCAGCCTTGCTCAGCATTGACTATGCTGGGTTGACTCCCACAGAGCCACACCGTATCTCTACCCCAAGATTCCCAGTGCTCCAGACTTAAGATGAATGCGGGACAAGAATCCGAGTACCATCCTTAGGCTGGCACTACATATGTTTGAGCTGATAGCCCTGATAATCAGGACACCGTCAAGCAACAGCAAGGAAAATAGTAATCAGCAATCACTAGTAATCAGCACAGGTCTGACATGAGCGCAACCAGTAAGACCAACTGGACGCAAACATTGGCCCTGTGTGGAACCAAAGAGAATACTTTATACGTACCATGTCTATGCTCCTAATTCCTGGAGTACAGTGCAGACACCTGAACTGCCTCTGCATACAGAAAGCTTTCTTCACATGAGGATGAACTTCATTCAGTTGGGCCCACACTTGCTCATCAGCCCTGACAAGCTAATGCATGACCTAGCTATTCTAATCAATGGTAAGAGTCCACTGCACTTGAAAGAAAGAAGGTAGAACTTCCTTTCAGATAATTCTGTAAAAGTGCAAAATACCAAAAATATGTATGAATTGGATTGTTATATCAAAAATTTAGGTTTCATATAATCTGCTCAAATGGAAGTTCTTTCTGTAACATTAACACTTGAATAGAAACTTACTGCCTCCTCACAATTAAAAAAAAAAAATCATGTGAACAAAATTCTATGGCAAAACTATGTATGGAAAAGCAGAGGAGACTGTTCGCGTTAACTGTTTTCTTCTTAGTTTTTTGTGGCTTTAATCCTTTCATGTGGCATTACATAAACTGTGCCTGCTACCCATACAGTTCTGAACAGTATCACAAAGTCCCATTAAATGCAATGAAAATTGGACAAAGCTACTGTAAAATTTTATATGCCCATAATTTTACTGCCTGTATTCAACCAAATACCATTTTTCCTTTAAGTGGAAATTTACTTTAATTATTAATGAGGGTTATAACCCGCAGAAAAGTTTTATTACGACAGCGTCCTTCAAAAGCAACTAGTTGTTTAAAAACTTAAATAGAAAAATATGAATGTTTTGGCTACCAGCTACCTTATAAAAATCAAAAGTCTAAGTTCCTCGAAGTATAAAACCATAAGGCAAGCTGCCTCTCCTGCAGAATTTGCTACACTAAAGCGATTTTAGGAAGCTTTTCACAAGTCTGGTATTTTCACATTGGTTTTATATTTTGTAATGGACAGAAATGGAACTAGTAATAAGCACAACAGGAACACCCCTTTTTTTCCTTTCTTCTCTGTTGTGAAGCCTCTTCATAATTGCTTTAAAAAAAATTCACTGCACTTGGTACTCCCTACATATTTTGTAAGACAACTACAATTGGAGTGAGCAGTCTGTGCTCAAAAATCAATTACATTACAGTTATAATTCAGTTATTTCTGTCTCGATCTTGGAAAAGTCATCTATAAAAATGAGTGTTACTTAGAAAATAACTAAGATTAGGAATGCTGTGGCATGCCAAATTTTGGATGTCTGTATTATGTTAATTGTAGAGACTGCTTTATTTGATCAAAAATCTGATTCCCCTCTGCCAAAATTAGGGTTTGTCTTTGCTAAAGATTGTTTAGTCTCTTAAGCTACTACATTATTCATTAGCTTTAAGTTATTTAAAGGAAAACAACAAGTTACAGCAAATATTTTTAATGTTTATGTTTCAGACACATCATCTCTTCTTTGAACATGCTTCATATATTAAAGAAGGTTATCACTGGTACAAAACACCTATGGTAACAGCAACTATGTGACAGACAGCCACAGACACAGAAATCTTAAGTCTCCCTTTTTCTATTTCTAGCACTGTTACAGCAAGGAATTTAATCTGTCCACGTCTCAGTTTACCTCTCTGTAAAACAGGCTCTGTACTGTTTCCTATTACTCCCAAAGCTATGGGAAGCTCACTGTACTCCAGATTCAGAAGCCATTTCTGTCTTGCTGGAAGAGCTGTCTCATGGGCCAGACCCTTGGCTTGATGAAATCAATGGGAACTTTACCCCCAATTTCAGCAACTGTAGGATCAACCTTCAAGCACAATGCAACAGAAATAACAGCAAATTCAAAGCAATGCTCACCACCATAACTGTGCTACCATGTGCAATACACCTAAAATATATCTCAGATGATGAACTCTTTTTTATTCCTTTTTTTTTTCTTCTTCTTTTCTTTAAATGAATGCCATAGGCTCTTTTTCAGTAACTGTGTTCTCCCTTTGGAGAGGGGAGATTTATCTGCTTTGAAAGAATCCTACTGAGATCAAATCTGATGCCACAAAGGGCAAGATTTCTAAAAAAGTCTTTCAACTACTCTAGCGGTGCATGTCAATAAAGGACTAATGAAAAAAAGGCATAAATAACGAAAACTGAAAAACACACCCTCCAACACTCTAAATACGTTATTAGTACACATTCCTGGCATCTGAGCTGGCTGAAGACCCAGTATACAGGCAAACTTAAAGAAAAAACAAAATTACAAACAGAAAGTTAAAAGAGATACCAATATCTGTAAAGACAGAGAAAACTTCAGCAACAGAAGTGCCAGCCACACTGGCAGATGAAATAAAGGTGTAGGTAAACCTGCGTACAAATACTAAAGGACGTGCCCTAACCCATAAACTTTAATCAGAAAAAAAAGGAGGTAAACCAAACTCACGCAGTAATATACGCTAAGTTTTCATTGCACAAATATACACAAAATATCCAAGCAAATGACATATGTTAAATATATTAGACAAGAAAAGCTATCTGAACCAAATACCTGTCAAACTGCCAAGATTATACTATTTTTCACATACATTTTGTCCTCAACAATTACGTAGAATTCATCTTCAAGAATGACAGACACTTGTGCAGCCAATCTTGTAACACAAATCTGAAAATGTAATATTTCATGCTATTCCATCAGTAATTCCACTGTATGCCAAAGCTGAAATGGACATTTTCTCCTAAAAGGTTCTCAGATTATGGTACCAAATGCATATATATGCCTAAGAAACAGGATCTGCATAGGCAATTCTGAAGGACGTATTGTTTTGTAAAAGAAATATAATGTTCATTTAATGATAATGGCAACAGCTATAAAAGGAGGCCTTGGTAGATTAGCAGACAATGTGTTAAACGTGCTGAAGTCTCGAAAACTATCAGTCAGGTTCTGGCAAACTGTAGCTAGATGGTATTTCACCAACTTTAGAAAAGTATCTGGAGAGCAGCGCTACATCAGCTACTTCAGTGACAACGCTCCTATCAGATTCAAGGGAGCCCACATTCATTCCATGGTTCATAATTATCTACTGGACTCCAGTTCAACCAAAACATTAAAGCTTCTCTGCAACAGGACTACAGCACACTGAAAACGTTTAAAACGTGTTAGGAAAAAGTATTTCTGTTTAATAGACTAATGTAATTTATGATGTGGCTTACTGACTTTAGTTGTATTCGGTAAATTTATGTGTGTCACTGATTGAAGACTATGTCAATGTGCTTCTGCATGCATATTTAATAATTAAATTCCATGTGTTAAACAGCATTCAATGCTCTCATCACTGAGGATAATTTTCTATGCTGTTCATATTTGTGTAATTTTGTATTTTTCCTCGGCATAATAGCATGCCTTTAACCGAGGAAGTTTGTACAAGATGCTACCATGCAAAACCCCCCGAGATCATGAAAATTCCACAAGAAAATCACCTGATGGACATTTACAAACTATTCATGCTATATATAATTTAAAATACCTTTCCATTCTCGAGAATATACTTGTCCATTACTGGAACAGGGGCAGGATAGTACGTTGATGTATTTGCTTCCTCACTGAAGGTCTTCTGTACCTCAGGTTCAGGCTCAATTGATTCTGGTTTTACTTTTTCAAGCTCAATGGCAGGTCCTAGACAGTTAAGAAAAGAGAGCTGTCTGCTATCCCAGAGAACAGGAAATCAATCACTTCATCACCCATGGTTAGCATAAAATAACACATTAGTCATGTTCATTTTAGAGTTAGAAATAGTCTAAACCCAAATCCTACTTCTAAATGTCAATAGATAAAAGCAGGATAAGTAACTCTGCTTTAGGAACATTAAAGTGTTTAATTTTAATTTAAAAGTTTAATTTTATTCTCAAAGCATATGGATAATTACAGATATGGGTAAGATTGCTTCAATGTACACTATGGAAATTGTGTTAAAATGACACTGAAATGATAAACCAAAAGCAACAACAGTAGTTCTTCAAAAAATTACTATATAGTTGCATAGAAACCGGCATAATTTACTGTGATGATTATATAAATTATCCATGTAGATTTACAAATTTTATAAAAATTTGAAATGTCTTCAGATATAACAGAGGTATATTAAAAATAGTGAGGATCTACAGAAATGCTCTAAAGGAAAAAGGCTTAGGCTACTTATGCTAAAGTATCATGCACAGAAAGAGTATCCAAGTTTCAAAAACCCCACATAAATTAGAATTTTGATTGTCCAATCCATCCAACATACCGATTTTTATTTTTAATGTAATCAACAAAAATTTAGCACAAATTAAACAACAGAATACTACTACACATATGTTTGAGGCTTCAGAGGAGCACAATTATTTTGTCAGTCATCAACTTTTTTTTTCCAGATCAAATTTATAAAGTGTTTCTAAAAAGGCAGAAGAACAAAATAAAATAATTTGTGAATTGGATTTCATTATTCCATTCATCATAGTGGTTACACCAGAAGTCTAGTAACAGGCTATGGCCCCAAGCCTATCATTGTCTCTTGATGTCTGTCTCTAGGCTCACGAGAAGCTCCATCAATCACTGAAGTTTCACACAGGGACGGTGGTTCGTTAACTCTGCAAAGTTGCCAGCTTAGACCCTGGACATCACGGTAATCAGTCACTTCCAAGAACTGCAAGGATAAACTCACCCACTTGGAAGAACTGTATTGTACCAGGTTGGAGCTGAGAGCACTGCAGCACTCTGTAGCCCAACCTTGACATCTTCAACAAACGACAATTCAATAATCAGGTCACCGTCACGGTTCAGCATCCATCCTCAGTGTTTGTACACATAGACCAAGCCCTGAATTGATCTAACTCTGCAAGTCAAGCTGGCACCAGAACTCATGTCTCGATTCATGTATCTTAAATAATTCCTGTACCTGGAACAAGCAAAGCATTCATTCCTCCTACTTTGTGCAGTTTCATTTAGAGATTATTATACAGTGATATCAGCATTTCCTCCACTGTCAGCATTCCACATTTATCCTATAGCTTATTCTACACCTACGTACCTAGCTAAATGTTCTCAGCTGGCGGCCACCTGACACTCAGCAACAACTAAAAGTTGTCTTGGCAACTCAGATAACCCTGTACAGTACCACCAAGAGTGTCTTAAGAGCCATATGCAATACAAGCACGGCACTAACAGAGAAACGAGAAAAAACATACTATTTGCATTATAATTTCATAGTAATCTTAATAAGCACCTCTATTATCATGCATATACAATGGTACGACCAAGACAAATAACTTTCTAAACTTGAGACTGCTAAACTGATTTTTTTCAGGTTGGAGGCAAAACCTGGACTGATTAAATCACTCAAAGCCTGCACACATCTCAGTGCAGGCACACCTGAACAAGTAGATGCAGTGATGTAATTGCCAGTGTGAACTTAAGAAGCAATCTTTTAGCTGTTACTTTAAGAACACATTCTTCAAAGTGCTATTTTGAGTTTTCTTACACTTTGAAAGCCACGTTAAGGAAGACACCTAAGTACAACCACCTAGAAGAAACATTTATCTCAGTTTAAACACTTTTACTAGAAAGTCTTTTAGTCTTCTAGGCTAAAGAAGTCTTTTACTGTTTGATTATAGTGATATATTGACACAGCTGGGATTTGGTTTCCAGAGCTCCCCAAGAAAAACAGCCGACTGAACCTCTATTGCGATTCATGCTTTACTGCTTAGAAGTCACCAACAGAAAGCCTTTAAAAGGTCTTTTTTTTTTTCTTCCCAAAGAGAAACCTGGCCCTAACCAGGTAGTCTCCACAGCTACTTTCACCAACTAGTAAAGACTGTATTTTCAACCCGGCATGTTGTGAATTAGACATGCCACCCGCATTATCGCCTTGCTGCTAATGGGAGTTGTGCACCATGCACCACACTCCAAAGGTTTCCTCTCTCTGTAGATCTTTGTGCTCTGCATCTTATTTTAAAGATGATGAACGGGACATACAAAAATATATGCCACTATCTAAAGGCTTAACAATGATAGTACTTATGCAATAAGGATCATAAAAAAAAAAATTCTTCAGAATGTAAAAAAGAAACAAATGTTTTATTGCAAAATCTTTCTCCTTCTGACTGTAAAGTTCCATAATACCTGAGAAGCCAGCAACTTCAAACGCAGGATGAAGAGGTAGAAGGCTTCCCTTCATCACACCTTTTCCTCAAAAATGCACCTTAGGCTACACGCTACTCAAAAATTAGTAAATAAGCCAAAATAAATTAACTGATAAAGCAGTCAATGTACATTTATAAGCAGCAAGCTGTTTTTCCACATGGTCTACCAGAATTTGAAGGAAAACAACAAGGAGTCTGAGAAGGGGAAATACTATGTATATAGTACTTCCTGTATTTGTACTTGACAGAAACCTTGGACTTTTTTTTTTTTTTTAACATCAAAGAGCCAAACAAATCTAGAGTAGTAAGACAAAAAATACCATTTCATTCTCCCTATCCTGGTGTCAGTCCCAAGACACTGTAAACTGGATCACTGAAATTAAACTGGGATTAAAAATAACCTTTTGGAGGGTTGTGTGTGTGTTTATGAATGAATGTGAATGAATGAAGGCGAATATACTCTCTGACTTTAGAGCAACACTAATTCTTAGCAATACGACATGAAAATGCAGTGTTTATCGCTGAACAACATCCAAACATTATCCCCGATACAACCTCACTCCTTTTGGCCATATACAACCATAGCAAACTGCACAGATCTTACCCCGGAGACAGCAACTGTTCCCAAAGGTATTGAAATTCTTATCTTTTGCAGTCCAAGGACCATGTAAAGTTAGGCCTACAGCGAAGAGTTGGTGATTTAGTTCTCTAGATCACCTTACTTTCAACTGATAAAACCAGGGCACGTTAGTGTGTTTTCAGCTGCAACAGAACAAAGCGAAACTGCAAAGGCCTACGATCGCAGGGCTTCCTGATCCCAAAGTAGGCAAGGGAGAAAAGGCTCTGGCTGCACACATTCCTGGAGAGCTCAGGCAAGGGATACTATAACCTCTTCCATGACAGTCATGGTGTTCCCCCACTGCTTTGGTCCCTAGAGCCCTGGTCAAATGCCTGCCTCCTCCAGGAAGCGATCTGTTGGGCAATGGCGTATCAAAATCATGAAGCAGCTTCAATACATCCCCATGCATCAGTACTGATTTCGCTGCTGCCATTTGCCACATCTGCTTTTAAGACTCTTCTAAAACTAAGAGCAATTCAGTGTCACCATATGAAAGATGAAGAACCTCACTCCTCCCACAAGAGTGGCTCAAGTTCAGTAGCGGAGATGAAGGCCTAGGTTTAAAGCAGAATACATTGACTTCTAGCTTCTCACTGAAATCTGCATATTGATGGGAAATTAGGAGACCAAGTACTTGACTGAATGTTAGCTCAAGAGGCTGTTCTATATTGGATCCGCAAGTTTAAAATGGCAACAGGCACGTGTTCCCCACAGCTGCAATTCATCAGCACAAAACAGCTGTCATCTCATGCAAAGAAATCAGAAGTCTCTAAGGTGAAACAGAAATGCAATTAGTTCGCATTAAGTCCAGCCTGCTAGAAGTGCAGCATAACAAATTACATGTAAGAGATCGCTGCAACAACTGAAGGTGAATTCAGGATGTAATCTATTTTCTGAACAATTTTCACAGATTATTCATATACCCAAACATACCTCATTTATAAGGTGGAAAAGTAAGGAAGACTAAAGAAGTCTTCACATATCTGTTTCTTGATTAAAAGTAGCACTTTTTCATACTGTCATCAGACTCCCTGATTGTATAATTTGAAGAAGATGTCTCCCTTTCTAATCATTCATACATTCTGTACTGATCTTTCTAGAATCTGGTTGTTTCTCTACTGTGAATGATGCTACAAGGAAAGGCAAGAGTTATCAGTGGTTAATACACTGAATCTTAAGAAACACACGCCCTGTGAAGGATAGAGCCTGTAGGGCCAAATTCTACCTTTGTCATCCATGAAAAGTTCCATACAAGTAATAACAGCAAGGGATTTTTTTTTTGGAAGTTACCTATAATTCCTATTTGTCCCGGTACACGATTAAAAGAACTTGTTTTCAATGTAATCGAGATTTATTTTCAGTTGTAAAGCAGGTGCCAGACTGATACAATGGAAATTCAAGCCCAGTATTTAGAGAAGGTTCAGCATATTTTCCAAGAGGTTTTGGGTGTTTGTTGTTTGGGTTTGTTTTTTATTTTTCTTTTTTTCTTTTTCTTCTAAGCTTTCTTGATTCAGGTCAAGTGAAAAAATGCACCCCTTCTTTCTTAAAGTGAAAGAAATGAGACAGAATTCAGAAGCCGTCTTCATTTCATTGCTGGTCTCGCCACTCAAATTGCTGTCAAGTCTACCAACTAAATTGATATTTTACGCTGTTCAGCCCCATTGCCTACTAACATCTGGCGGGTGCTCCATTCACATAAATTCCAGCTAACTACTTGCAGATGAAGAAAGATCTTTCCATCCAAGGAAAATTTTAGAAAGCTCAGTGGAATCTACTGCCAACCACATTGTGTTTTTCAGACTGTGGAAACCTTGCCTATTTAGTTTTATTTAGAAAGTTAACTAGAATGTTCGTAATAAGTAATGACATTTTAATTACGCACAGTGTAACAATGATGAACATTCACAATCAAACACCCAGTTTAAATCATCTGATGCTACTTCAAGAACCTGGCTCCAAACTTGCGGGCACACCTTAACACATGCTACAGCACAGGCACATGCTCTCCCAGGTTCAGGTTTGTACGTGAATGTAACTCAGACCCACATGCAAACTGCATGCACTCGTTCAAGTCCAGCAGAAGAGCCAATACCCAATTTACATGCAAAAAATGAGTTTCCAGATACACAAAGGCAGACATAAGAAACAGCATGCTAAGTTTGGATGCACAAATTTTAACGAAGTTTCAGTCACCGAGCAAATCTTCAACACAGAAGTACCACATTCTAATAGCAAATAAATTAGTAAAATATTTGAAGGTATTCCAAGGGTACCATCTTCAAAGAAAAGGATGAACTTTTTATTTTGTCTTTTTTCCCATTTATTCCAACATAATGGTTAAATAATTGTTATAAACCAAAACAAATGAGCAATTGACTCAAGATATTTAAGATTTAAATCCAAATTACACAAACCTGCATTTTGTAACAAGTGTTGATAAACGGGACGCTAATATAAAAAGCTTTTTTAATTATTCTCTACAATTCATTTTCAAATAGCATGGCTGTTTAAAGCCACTGCTAAGTAGTTCAGGAATATATCACATTCTATTGAGCTACTAATGGGAAGAGGGGGCAGAAAACAGAAGGTAACACAGTCACTTACATAACAATAAACAAAATCCCTAACTGAAAAGAATAGAATTGTTTTAGCCCAAAAGCCCACTGCCTTTTCTTTCTTTTTTTTTTCTTTTTAAACTGGAACATATTGGTGTATTTTGCAGATGACGCTTTATTATCTTTTTCAGCATATACTGGAAGGTCAGAGGCTCTTTAAAATACAGCTGCTTAAATGGAACTCTGATTCAACCATACCAGCACAAAGACCTCTACTATCATTAAAGAAAAACCCAGACGTACATAGCATACAAATTCGACACATATTGTACAGCCATAGCAGAAAACCCTTTTAACATTCAATGTCCAGTTTAACAACCACTGCTATTCTTCAAATACGCTTCCATTACTATTGATCACACTTGCAAAACTCATTAAAACTAGTCCCATTTAAGTCCGGCACTTACCACTACCTAGTCTTAGAAGCAGTACATCCTGGAGTCTCCTGTTCAAGTCTCTGAGCTCTTTCATTTCTGACACGAGTGCCCCATACTCCTTTAGCTTCTTTGCCTGTTGCACAAGCTGTCTCCGTGTTCTCTCAAGCTCCTGTTGAATGTGTCTCATTTCTTCTTGTTGCTGTTGGTAACTCCTCAGCAATTCTTCATACAGAATCCGAGGAACTACAGCATCGTCCATGTTGTTCATGCTTTCCGAAGTCTCCATAAAAGCCTCCTCAGGGCTCGAAGTATTACTGAGACTCATCCCATTCTGTTTTTCAAGCCGAGCAACAACTGCTTCAATGCTTTTGTGTGTACCTTCACTTTGTTTCCTCCCATCTTGTCTCTGCATGTTATAATAAAAAAAAGAAAGAAATTAGGAGAACAGTAAAATGTAATACAAATTAAAATTCTACAGACTTGGGAACTGTTAATACTCTTTGTTTTCCAAAAAAAGCAAGACAGAGTCTGCCTGCAAAAATGTTTTGCCTAACAGATTCTTGTGGATATACATCATAACTATCGTGCACGCGTAATTCAGCTAAACGCATATACAAACTTCTGAGACAGCTAAAGGCCTGCCTTTCTCCATTTGTGCAACACTTGAAAGCTGAGTGTATATAGGTCACTTGATTCCATATACAAAGACAAACAATTTTTTTTTTTTTTTAAAAGGAGCTGGATCTCTTTTCCTTTAAAGTTTACCCCAAACATTTAGATTTCCGACAGCAATTGATCTTCTGATAAGTAAGAGAAAGAATCAACTATGTGCTATGCTTGTCACCTGTAACAACATCAGAGATGAAAGCAGCATACCATACAAAGCTGTTTTGTGAACAGAGAGCTTGTCCTGCCCACACTTTGGGAGACAAAACCTTCTCTGACTATTCCTCTAGCACATTCACCCTACTGCCTGATGCAAGTGACCGAGTTAACACTATCAGCAAACACTGAAAGGGAATTGAAAACACAGAAGTTGGAGACAGAAGGTATCATCCAGTCTCCTCTTCCTGACCACCTGATTCCTTCCACGTTAGTACTGCATTGCAGAGGCTTCATCTCCTTTGAACTCTCTGCAGAAATTTACCTTCAGTCATCTGCACAAACCCTATGAATTAAAGCACACTTCTTTTCTGGGGCCTGGATAGTGGTATTAAAATGTGACAGTACGGGTAAAAGTCACTAAGTTTTATTGGCCAAGTAGGGAAAAAGCATTTGAACTTCCAAGCAACTGCAAGGAAAGCAAATGTAGCTCATAGGTTAGAGACAAGAAGCTGACACTATCAATTCCCATACCACAATATCCATGAGTAATGTGGCAGAAAATTAGATTATTTGATGTTATGCCTGCTCCATGCATGTTCAAAAAAAAAAAAATAATGCTGGCCCACCATAAAGAAATGTACTAGTATCATTCCTGCAGCTGCAAAACACATGAAGCCACAGAGCCGTATTTTATTCTGAAGGTTGGCAGACTTTTAAAGAAATCATTTGATATCAAAAAATAAATACATTTACATAGCGGGTTTTTGGCATCTGGACCTAAAAAGGCAACCGTCAGTTATAACGGAGGGATGCAGTGCTGTCAATTTGTCTTCTCACCCACTGCTGCAGTTGGGAAGTCTCAGAGCACCCTTTCCAATTCCAAACAGGCAGTGCACAACAGGTCACAAGCGCCACCGAGAACAGCTACTCAACATTCATGTCACTGGTGACTTTTAAAGCATTCTGGGCCAAAGTGGAAGAGCATTGTTCCAAAAAATCTCAAATAGCAATTAAACTGTGCAGACCATATAAACAGGAAAATGTTTGATTGCACATAAATCAGGTTTTGAAAACCCGTACCCCACCCCCACACACAATTTGACCCAATTTCACCAAACACAGTTTTAAAGGGATCAAAAGCAGGCCTGGAATTCTTAAGCTATGATGTCTGTAAATGCCCCAAGCACTTCCAAAAAAAAAAAAAAAAAAAAAAGAGGAAAGGGGGGGAAAAAGAAAAAAAAGGAAAGACTTCAGTACCTTACTGTGTCTAAGCTCCACATCTTCTTCCCCATAATCTGTAACCTCCCCAGCTTCTTCTACGTGATTGAGAGAGAGTTTGGGGATTTTAATTTTCTTCTGCATCACACTGTTCTCAAGGTCAGTTTTGTCCTCTAAAATGGTATATTAAAAATAAAATTTTATTACATTAATCAGTGTTCTTACTTCCAAATACTACATGACTTAGGCAAGACCAGTTAAAAAAAAACCTCCCATGCTTCATTCCCTCATAGTACTATTATCAAATTAATCCATGGTATAACTCAACTGATACCCACTGACAATTCTAGAGTTTCAAGAGGGGATCAATCTGGCCAAACACAAGGATAAATATTGTAAAATGCCAAGCTAAATTCATGTAAGTAATCAAAAGTGTCAATGAGTAGCTTGTACTATCACTAAAATAAGAGTTAAAGATGTTGTAAATAAAACAAGTTCCTACAAAACATCTGCATTGCTTTAAATTATGTTTACCAACAGTATTTTCATGTTCATGATCTGTTGCTTGGGTTTAAAGTGAAAATAAACTTGGTAATTCATGCTATGCTCTAGCCATCATCTGTCAGCAGTACAGACCTATTTGCGCACACGGCAGATTCTGCTGTTCTGCAAAGTGCAGGGCTGGAAAAGGGGATGCTGCAGGGTAGGTTGAAAGGGCATTACAGAAAAGCTACATATGGACCAAATCTGTAACAAAATTACTATACGACTCCTATTTCATTAGTTAATGGTACTAACCTTTTTCCTTTAGACACACAAAGCCAATAAACGGTTATATTAATCTCTGAATGTCATAAAAAAATTGAAGTAAAATGTTTTCAAGACTGGAACATCCTAACATATCTCAAAATTAAATATTTCAAAGCATTATTCTGAAAGCAAGTTTGAAATATGTTAATATTCCTGAAAAGGTGCAGAGGGGATGGGGAATCAAGAGTGGAGTCTCCCCAAATGTGCCTGTGATCCGTAAAATTGTTGCAGAGCAGACAAGGTCTTAAAAGATTCACAAACTTGGCTACCTGTTCAAGACATTGACAAGGAGAAATGCATTTAAACTCTGAAGTGTTGTCTTAGTACATTGAAAGCTTATGAATAAGAAAACATTTTGAGTCTTCTTATCCACCTGCAAACTGTATTTCACAAAGTGTCCCAGGAATATTTTTGAAAGTGCCAATGAGGATGGCATTTGTGAGTGCTTAGCTGCATTGACTTGTGCTTTCTCAAATTAGCATCTCTCCACAGGACCTCAAAATGGTTTGTGTTGACAGAGTAAAAAAGGGAAACGAAGGTAAATCACTGCTTAATGAGGAGCAAGGCATTCATTAGAAATGAATTACACAGATGAATGCAATTCATTTTGTTACAGATAGAAATGGACCTCTTGTAGGCAAATGGTGATATTACAGCCCAAGGCTATGTAAAGAGAATAGGCACAGAACATGCAGAATAAGACATTAGACAACCTGAAATGAAATGCAGATGGTAGCAATAAATACCAAGACAGATGCAAAAAGAAACAGATAAACAACAAAAAAACCCAGCTAGACTTATTTTAGATCATTCTCCATTCCCCAGAGCATCATGGATGCTTATCCCAGTAAAGCAAAAAGGCAATCCAACTGTTTCAGTTTTGAAAAATAAACCCCTAAATTTTCATTTATCTGGAAAAGCTAGATTCATCAGAAAAGTGAGATAACCCAATTCTACTGTTAGAGAGCAGAAAAGAAAATAAGAGACCCCTTCTTAGAAAAAAATACAAATTTACAGACTAAAGGACAGACTGATGGGTATTGGTATCTTCTTGGAAAAACAAAAATATAAGAATAAATAAATCCATACTGAACAGAAAAAAACCCAGTAACTTTTTCTGTGACTAAATATTTTGGGGTATCTGATAGATTGAGGAATCCTTTGCTAAAAAAACCACATACGTTCTCACAATTCCTTAGAGGAAGAGCAGCACACGCACGCTGCAGAGCCAGCTTCTCTACACTAGTTTGCCAAATCATCTTCCACAGAACACACAGATGAACCCCTTCTACACTTAAAGAATGCAGATCAGTTTCTATGCTCCTAAATAACCCTTGGCCTCACAACAAGATGGACACAATCCAATTACTTCACGTAGTTAACAAAATTGTCTGCTGGCAACTAGCCAAGGCCACCAGTAGCCAGAACCCCACCCAAACTGGAAAAGGACACTAGCCATCTTTCCCATGGCCAGGGAAAAACAAGTCTTGAAACACTCATGGAAAGGGGTCACAGAGGAGTAAGTGCATGTGCAGACTACAGCTGAAGTCAGCAAATACCTTCCAATGAATAAAACAACATTAAAATAAAAACAATTTGGAAGAGCAGAAATATTTATCTTCTGATTTTGGCTTTTTATTTTTAAGTCAATTTATAAAGGTTAAGAACACATTTTATGCGCTGAACAACAGAAATGAAAGAAAATGCTTAGTTTGGGGTCAAAGAAAACAACACAAATTATCTGAATTCTTCACTCTCTCCACTCCCTATTTCTCAGTTTGCCTATGAAATCTATGTTTGCAAAACTTCACTGGGGGACTGAAGCTAAAATTTATTTATATACCTCCTTACAAATGCTTTGTTTATACATTATTGGGGTGTAACTATCAACACAGTTCTCTCATCTTTGGCAAATCTTTTCATTTGACCTTTTGATTTTCCTGCTTACCCTATAAATGAATCCGTAGGTTAAAGAAAGGAACTCTTTTCTCCCCATGCAAAATTTGAAGAAGCAATGGTGAAAATGAGTTTGTGTAAGTTAAAGCTCAGGAATTTTTAACTAAGTCAGTGAGCAAATAATTTCATGTTCCTTTGCCTTCCAAAAACAATACATATACTATTTTCTTACATATGCTCTGGTCTTTGTAGGCCTATTTATACCTCACATAATTAATCTACTAAATTGGATGTGAAAAGGCCTTTTGTTTTGCCTCCCCCCCCCCCGCCAAAGTGCATTTCTAACCTCTGTTGTCTTCCACATTAGCTGCAGACAGAACCAGAAAAATCTCATTCTGAATTTGAGGCTAATGCTGGAGTACTGGCTCTTGTTCTGTAAATATTAATGGAATTTGGGAAGGGACAGGAGGGAGTGAGAGGTGACCAGGGGGAGGGGTAGGAGAAAACATGAGCGTGCATTTAGAGTAGTTCTTCTTAGGACTCTCCCTCTGTTGTTGTGCCAGCCTACAAAAGACAGGTACAAAAGAATAATCCAGCAAAAAGCAAAACACACACAATTTTTGGCTAGAAGAAAACCAGGATATGAACAAAATGTCTGGACAAGCCGCAATTCAGTGCCTGAAGCTACAGAACGCAGCAAGAGAAAGAAGGGCAGTCCTAGAAACGTTGTAGCTCAGAGCTTGTCTGGACTTTGTCCCCAGCCATTTAAACCTGGCTACAAGTTAAAAATTATACCTTCCCTTAGGTGGCCATGATCAGACTGTCGGCAAGTTCCATCTATTGTTTTTCCTATAGATGCAATGAGTGGTTCAGTGGTACTGGCTACTGAGAACTTGCACTTAACACACCTAATTAGGTACATGTAACAAAATATGCAGGGTAGAAGCACGATACAAGAATGGACACAACGGATGCCCTCTGTCCTTTAGGAAGGGACATTCTGGAAGACCACGTGTAAATTAGGGAAAACTGCTTTTGTGCGCAGTAGTCATAATGCCAGACAGAGAACGTGGTATTCTGTGATTCAACACACCGAATAAAGCATGCGGGAATAACTGTACTCCAGGAAAAGGTCAGACTTGGACAGATCTCGCCAGTCAACTCCACAAGGCACTGAAGTATGAGGTACAAGAGCCAGTGCAGGTGATAGCATCTCTCCCCATATGGCCATTTACTAAAGCTGTCCAGGCAGCAAGAAAGTGAACTGCTGCGAAGTTTCAGAACGGCTGGGAAGACACTGGCCCTCAGCAGTGCTGAAAGAAAGAAAAGCCAAAAAGGCAACCCTGCAACAGAGAATCTGTATCAACTAGAAAAGGATAAACTGTTCCTGGAACATTTCCTTCAGTCAGGCCTTCGTTTCAGTGTCAACATGGGTGGATCCAGGCCAAAAGGTAATAGCTTTAAGTCTAGAGCAGCAGGGAACAGAGGCAGACAAAGCGACTTTGACAAGGCAGGAAGTGAGTTGGTTAAATTCAAGTAAAAATGTGTTAGTGCTCTAAAACTGAAAATCCTATCGTGGGATGTAGAATAAAACTATGGAAGTCTCAAAGCCTCCTTAGAACATTCCTTACTTTCTAATTTAGAAGTAAGGACTGAAAAAACTAATCCACTAAAAAAAAATAGTTCAAATGCCGATTTTTATTCCACCTTTGGAGTAAAAGCTGGAAAAACAGAGGAAGAGAGCTCTGCACTCCAAATGGATGAGGGATGGCAGGTCTGGGATCAGTCCAAGTAAGGGGCTTGGCAATGTTATAAATCTTACAATAATATAATGAAAGAACCTTGATCAAAATTTGTCCTTCCCCTAAACCTTCAAAAAAATTCCACACCTTGTGAAAAATGATACACTGACAGATGAAAAAATTTACCATCACCCTTCCCATTTCCAGGCACATACCCAACACATATGGGCAACACCTGTACAAAATTCCCCCCACCCCCCGCTGCATTTAACTGCTTTGCTGCTGATTTAGCCAGGTTGCTTCTACAGAGCAGAGAGCATCACCTGCGTTGGCAGGTTGTACATTGGTTACAGTTCATAAAGTGAAAGACACTTTAAGAATGAAAGCAAAAACCCCACAACCAAAGGTATACTTGGTACCCCAAAGCAAATACACACACCAAGCACGACAGGGCATGGATTCCTAAGTACCACTTAAACGTAAATAAACAATAATCAATATTGCTATAACTGAGAAGGAAAAGGGCATGATAGTACAAAAAACAAACAAACAAAAAAGCCACCTAGTTTATTTGAAACTGGTAAAAAGAATTATAAATTACTTTCTTAGCTAATTCAATGCAAACATTAAAGAAGGATATTAACAGTAAGAAGAGTTTTCAGAAAATGTAACGACCCTGATGGCTCAGAAGACATTCAAGATACAGAGGAAGAAAAATTCATCCC